CTCACCTCAGCCTCCCGAAGGCGCGGGATTACAGGCTGAGCCACCGAGCCCGGCTTGCTTTCAAGCTTTCTTACAGAAGATCTGGAGCAGTCTCATCTAGGGCTAATTTAGCCCCTTACTCATTAGCTACCATTCTTTGGACTCTACCCAACATCTTGTTTGTTGTTGCTGCTCTGGTCCATGGCAACATGAACCCTTTCCAGCCTTGCTTGTGAACTCCTGCAGTTGTTGACCCTACTGCTTTGTGGTGGTTCCATCCCCAGCCTCATGGCGTGTTATTCCACATGCACACAGATCATTATTTATCCACAGATTTGAGAGGAGAGCTCTAGAGCTTTCTCTATGTGTAAGCCCTACTCTTTGGTATTCTGTCCCACAACTTCTAACCTCAACTTCTTCAAACTTTTATCTCTTTCTCTTCAACCCAGCAAGACCTCGGGATTCTGTTTGTGCTATGTCATTGTGCTATGTCCTGGAAACCTCTTTTATGGTCAAGTAATAATCTACTATGTAGACATATCATTTTTTAATTTATCCATTTATTCATTGATGGACATTTGAGTTGCTTCTACCTTCAGTGAGTGGGGCTCTCATTTGTCTTCCTTCTTCCTGGGTTCACAGATATACTGCATTATCTGTTGTTCATTGTCTGAAAACAGCTGTTTCTCAATTCGTTTACACTGGTACTGTTAGATGGATATTTATAAAATATAAGTCTAATTATATAATTATCCATCTTTAAAATCTCCTTCTCTCCCCCTGCCTCCTTTTTTTGTTTGTTTTTCAGACAAGGTCTCACTATGTTGCCCAGGGTTGCCCAGGCTGGTCTCAAACTCTTGGGCTCAAGAGATCCTCCTACCTCAGCCTCCCAAGTAGCTGGGGCTATAGTGTGTACTACCACACCCAGATAAACCCTCTTAATGAATGTCTGTTGCCCTCTGTAGGGAAAAGTTCCTTAACTTAACTCATAAAACCTATAAGAGTTAAGGCTCTTTGGTGACAAGCAACAGATACCTCTGGCTTTAGTGGAAAGAGGGATTTTTTGAAAGGATATAGAGTAACCTACAGATAGAAAAAAAAAGCTAAGTAGAGGCTTAAGAAAGTAAGGAATCAAAGAAGCTCAAGTTTCTAGAAACAGGAACTCTTTGTAAGGACCTGCTCCTTGGGTCTTTCTACTCTGTAATCAAATGAGAGGTACAGAGAATGATTTGTCCAATTGACCTATGCTTGGGTCATATGCCACCTCTGACTTGTTCTCCCCTGGCAGTCCTACATATGAGTGGGACCCAAAAAAACCCTGAATTTATTTGTAGAAAAGTGTGTATTTTTTCTTACATGCTTAAACTTTAGTCACCTTCAAAGTATTCTCTGTCTGATGCAATACACTTTTGTGATGCTTGTTCCACAGCTCAAAACAGTTTTTGAACTCATCATTTTGATGCCTTTTAGGGTCTCTGCCATTTTTTTTTTGTTTCACCTCTTCCACATCGGCAAAACTTTTCCCTTTGAGGACTTTTTTCACTCAGGGAAACAAAAAAAAGTGGCTCTGCTTGGGGCAAGATCCAATGAATAGGGGTCATGTCATTTTTGGTCAAAAACTGCCGAACACTCAGCGTGGTGTGGGCAGGAGCACTGGTAAATCATCCCTCATGAAATGGACAAACACATGGAAATTTAAAAAAAAAAATTTACTGAAGCTGAACACAGCCTCTCACAACAATGCTAGCTGGTACACTGATGCCAATGGGTTCCTAGAACACATAACTACCTGGAGGAGGCCTATACTACAAAGGGCCTGCCCTCCAAAAGATAACTCTGGGTTTTTTGTATCCCTCCTCATACATAGACTACAGTGGAAGAAGATTGGTTTTCCCGAGGGAATTTGAGACTCTGTTATTAGGAAGAAGAACAATAGATGCTGTATAGCAAAATATCACAGACTTTCTCTACCAGGTATTCAGGATCTGGTCCTCCCCTGTCTTTCTAAGCCTCTTCTGACAGCACACCCACCATGACCAGAACCCTTGCTGCGGCCACACTCAAGCTCCTAAAGTGTCTCCAACATGCCCCAGTGCATTTGCACTTGCTATTTCTTCTATCAGGAGTCACCTCTCACACCACGCCTCACCCCACCAAAATAAAACCTATACCAAACACTTGGATAGTGTCTACTTCCGCTCAGTGCTCCTCCCTCCAGAAAGCCTTCCTTCACCCTCCCGGTTTGGGTCAGGTGCCCATTCGATTTCCTTCCATAGACCTGTGTTTGCTTGCTTTATAACATTTACTGTATCAAACATGGTGGTGGTTTACTTTCGTGGTTCCCCAATAGACTGACAGCTTCTTGGGAACAGGGATGGTCTCGCACATTTTGATATTTTGTCCAGCACATTAACAGGCATTTACATTTTTATTGAATACAAAATAATCTCCTACCCTCTTAGGGAACTCTGCTGGATGTGGACGGTCCCCAGCGAATGCTCAACCAGAACCTGGAGCTCAGATTCCAATACTGTGAGGATAGTCGCTGGCAGTGGTTTGTTATTTACACCAGACAGGTGAGTTCTCAGGGCAGAGCATGAAAACTTTCTGTGCTGAAATGCTGTCTCGCTTGCTGGGGTGGACAGAACACATTATCCTAACCCAACTCGAGCAGACTTTGGAGTATACCACACAATCTGTGTTCGGACTTGAAAACCTTTTTTTGTTTTATTTCACTAGTCACCATGACCTTACCAGGGGTCTGCAAACTCCTTCTAAAAGGGCCAGATGGTAAATAATTTAGTACTTGAGGTCTCTGTTGCAACTACTGTATTCTGTAAAAAGCAGCCATAGACAGTATATAAACACATGGATCTGACTGTGTTCCAATAAAAATTTATTTCCAAAAATAGGTGGTGGGCTGGATTTGTTCCGGCCCACTGACCCTTGGCTTAGACCAAATACAGATTCTTATTATCTCATGTAAAAAGAATACTGAAGGTAGATGATTGGTATCCCTGCCATTCTCTTGACTTTTAACAAGTAGATAAAAAAACTACGGGTTGAGTATCCCTTACCTGGAATGCTTGGGACCAGAAGTATTTCTGATTTCAGGGATTTAAAAAAAATTTTTAATATTTACATATGCAGCTGCATGCTGCATAACATTTCTGTCAATGACAGCCCACATATATGGAGATGGTCCTGTAAGATTATAAGATCATAATACTGTATTCTTACTACACCTTCTCTCTGTTTAGATTTGTTTAGATACATAAATACTTATCATTGTGTTTCAACTGCCTCCAGTATACAGTACAGTAACATGCTGTCCAGGTTTGTCGCCTAGGAGCAATAGGCTACACCACATAGCCTAGGTATGCAGCAGGCTAGGCCATGTGTATGCACACTTTATGTTGTTTGCACAATGACAATATTGGCTAACAATGCATTTCTCATCATTAAGTGTGATGCAATGAAATGTCTTGAGGATGGGACCCACAAAATTTAACACATAACCTGGACATTTTATACAATATTTTAAAAGAGCTTTGTGTGTGAAATAAAGTGTAGACACCAAATCATCAGAAAGCAAATGTGTCACTATCTCAGCCACCCATGTGGACAGTCACCCATGTGGTTGGCATTGCCATCATCCTCGATTCTGAATTTATATGTTCCTGATAAGCAATCATTTTCATACCCTTATTCACACAGAAGTACTTAACAGCAGAAAATGTGGCAGAACGTTAATATAGCAAAAAATTAGGTGTTCAGGGTGACTAAGCAGCCCAGGAGCATGACCAGAATACCTTGTGAAACAACGGCAACAAAACTGTTTGACTGTTACCAGTCACATGAAAGCAGGTGTGGGATTTTCATTTGTGGCATCACATCAGCAACCAGAAGTTTCAGATTTTGAATTTTTGGATTAGGAATGTTCAATCCATATCTCCCTTATATAGAAAGCAAAAGCTTTATCTCAGAAACCCCCCCAATAGACTTTCCATTATGTATCATTGGCCAGAACTAGGTCATCTGACCACTCTAGCTGCAAGGGAATCTGGGAGTCAAGTGTCTAACACAGGAGTTTGAGATCAGCCTGGGCAACATTATGAGACCTCATCTCTACAGAAAATAAAAATCTTAGCGGGGCATGGTGGCACATGCCTGTAGTCCCAGCTATTCGGGAGGCTGAGGCAGGAGGATCACCTGGGCCCGGGATGTAAAGACTACAGTGAGCTGTGATTGTGCCAGTGCACTCCAGTCAGGCAACAGAGTGAGACCCTGACTCAAAAAAATAAAAAAGAGAAAGAGAGAAGGTGATTGATAGGTCTCTCGTTAAGTATATACACAATTAAACATAGGATTGATTGCTATCAGTTTATTTGATTATAATAAGTAGTTATTGTTTGTTGCTTATAAAACATGATCTGCTTACAAAATAACAGAAAACATGGAGGAGGAGTTTTAAGAGGAAAAAGATTAGTGGTGAAATCCTGGCTATTTTTCATGTGTTTTTAAAAAATTTAAATATATCCATGTAACTGAGAACATTTATGGTTGCTTGTAAGTTGCATCTTATGTAACATTGTAGAAGTTAAAGAAGAAATCTAAATTCTTGAAAGTGAACTGTTGGAGAGCAGAACTCAAGATCTGTTTTGCATTGTGAGAGGGAAGAAAGAGAATAAGGATCTCTTCTGTTGAAAGAATTCTTTATTTCTGGATTTTTTAGGCTTTTTTACTGAGTAACTGCTTGAAAAAGATGATCTCAGAAAAGATGGTAAAGCTAGCTGCCGAGAACCCAGAAATGGTAAGTGCTCTTACTGTGTACAAGGGAAGACCCCCATCCACAAAAAACCTGGAATTATCTTTTGGAGGGCGGGCCCCTAGTAGTATAGGTACCCCACTAGATAAGTGTACTAGGAACCCATCAGCATCAGTGTACCAGCTAGCATTGCTGGGAGAAGCTGTGTTCAGCTCAAGTGAATTTTTTTTGGAGATTCTTTCAACTTGTTTGCTTATTTCATGATGGGTGATTTACGAGTGTACCTGTCCACACCACGCTGAGTGTTCAGCAGTTTTTGACCGAAAACAGCATCATCCCCATGTCCCACCCTCCCTATCCACCTGATCTCACCCCAGAGACTTTTTGTTTGTTTCCCTGGGTGAAAAAGTCCTCAAAGGGAAACTTTTTGCCCATGTGGAAGAAGTGAAACAAAAAAATGGCAGAAGCACTGAAAGGCATCGAAATACATGCGTTCAAAAACTGTTTTGAGCAGTGGAAAAAGCATCTCGATAGGTGTATTGCATCAAACGGAGAATACTTTGAAGGTAACTGAAGTTTAAACATGTAAGAATAAATACACAATTTTTTAGAAATAAATATGGGGGTTTTGGGGTACCCCTTGTATGTCTTTCACTCTGAGTTCTCACTGTTGGCCAACACTTGGGGACTAAGCTATATATACTCATGAACTCCCTGAGCCAGCAGTCTGGTCCTAGAGGGAGGACTTCAAACTGCACAGAAGTAAGCTCCTAATCCCTCTGGTGGCTCAGTGGTCGGGGTATCATGGTGGGAGGAAGCCTGTCTTTAGAATTCAGGTCATTTTTCCAATGAGAAGTCTTCTTTGGATTCCTGAGAACTCTTTAGTCCTCTACTGTGTTGTTTTATTTCTGCCTTCCCCCAAAAGAAAGCTTTCAGATTCATCATGAAGTCTACCGCATCAAGTCAGAATCTTGAGGGGATCTTTAACACAGTGGGATGATCTTAAATACTCTCTAGAGTTTGTCTCTGGAAAGAATTCTTAGCCTCTTGATCTTTCCGTTATGCTAAATGAAAATGCCTTTAGAGTGGGTGTAGTGGCTCACACCTGTCATCTTAGCAATCTGGGAGGCCAAAGCAGGAGGATTGTTTGAGCCCAGGAGTTCAAGAACAGCCTGGCCAACATAGCTAGATCTCATCTCTACAAAAAAATTTTTAAAAAATTAGCCAGGTGTGGTGGCGTGCACCTGTAGCTACTTGAGAGGCTGAGGTGGGAGGATCACTTGAGCCCAGGATTTTGAGGGTACAGTGAGCCATGATCATGTCACTGCACTTCAGCTTGGGTGACAGAGTGAGACCCCCAAGTCAAAAAAAAAAAAAAAAAAAGAAAGGAAGAAAAAAGATTGCCTTTAGCAGTTGGAGGAAGATATCGAGTAAAACACACCCTCAGGGCTATAATTTTTTCTGACTGTGAAATTAAACTTTATTTTCCTTATCTACATTTATTTATGAATGGCCTAGTAACTCAGTGAAATGATTGGTGAAGCAAACTAGAAAAAATTTAAAAATTATTGAGATTTAAACTTTTCCAATTGCCTTGTCATCATCATGATATAAGCATGTCCCAATTCCGACAGTACAATTTGATTTTTAAAAATTATTACACGCCGGACTCGGTGGCTCAGTCTGTAATCCCAGCACTTTGGGAGGCTGAGGTGAGTGGATTGCATGAGCCCGCGGGTTCGAGACCTGCCTGGGCAACTTGGCGAGACCTCATCTCTACAATAAATCAAAAAATTAGCCGGGCGTGGTAGCGCGCGCCTGTAGTTCCAGCTACTTGGAAGGCTGAGGCGGAAGGATCGCCGGAGCCCAGCAGGTCGAGACTGAGGTGGCCGGGAGTGGCCACAGCACTCCAGTCTGGATGACAGAGTGAGACTCCAACTCAGAAAAAAAAAAAAAAAAAACTATTACAAATACTAATGCCTGGTTGGCATTTGTAAACTTAATTCTTTTGTAAAATATTACAATAATTTTTAAAAATACAGCAGAAAACATAGACATTTTTCTTATATTTTCTTTCAATTTAGACTTTTGTAAGAGGCCAGATGACATCCCTAAACCTAACATTGATCTTTACTTGACTTTATTGCTTTTTTCTAAGAAAATAGTTGCCTTTTGTACTTATTTCTCTTTCTTCTGGAATGGAAAATATTTTTCTAGGGAAAATAAATTCACTGCCTCTTGGCGATTAAACAATTCAAAATGTACTGGAGAGTAGTAAATCAAAGCAATAAAAGAATCAAGGAGACTCTTTTTAAAAGAGTAATAAAATCCAACCTCTTAGGCAGGATGGCCCTCTTACGCTCTGATTATTATAAATATAAAAAAGAAGAAGAAAGGGAAAAGTAATTAACTGAAGTGGCCTCATTACATGAGGGAAGTGCTCTCCAGTGTGGATGAGTCAAATGTCACCTACTTAGTGCAGGAAATACTTCTACAATGAATAGCTAGAGAGTTAACTCAGTCGAATGAAAAGGTCGTAATCTAGTTAAAGTTTTCAAGAAAAACAACCCCATTATATTCCTAAAATCTGCATACAAATTGAAATCTATCATTTATCTCTGACTGATAGCAAAATCACCATATTACTCAATATTTTTGTATTGCTTTATCCAAATAGTCAACAAGTTTTATTTCCAGAAACTCTCTACTTCTTTGTTTATTTTGATTCTTGGAAAGAAAAATTCAGACCCTCCGTTTGGAAATTGGGTTTTCAAGAGGATGTTGTAGGGATCGTCTGCGTTTCCATCTGGAATTCCACCTCCAAAGCTCTTGATGGAATGGATTCCTGGAAGACAGAGAGAGCAGACAGGTCAGCTATGTGAGCTAATTCTGAGTACTGGGCCTCCTCACAAAATACCGTTGACTAAAGTCATTTTGAGGTCTAAAGCAGCCACATCAATGTATGACAACAGTAATTTTCCCTTGTTTCCTAGGCAAACATACATAGTCCGAGCTGATACATAATCACTTGTAGAAGGCTTATATGGGCCAGGACACAGAGGTCTGTTTTTTTGCAAGGATGTTCTGGGGCCAAGTTTTTGATCATCTTAAAGAATCTGGAGCAGGGAAGAGAAATTGTAACCAAATGAGCCCCACAGAGTAGCAGATGGTCCCTAGAAGCAGATTAAATAGTGCTGGTTTTATCCTCCTAAGAAGGAATGAGGAAAGAAGAGATTTATTGCTAACTTAACTAGCTTAGTTAGCTTTAGGCAATGTTTTAAAAGGTAAGATTTGAACTGTTTATGAAAAGATTATTAAAATTGGAATCAAAGCGCTGAAGAATAATGTAAACACACAACCACTACAAAAATATCATGTTAAAGTCTTAAAGGCAATATTAACCGCAAACCAGGATAATAAAAAGAGTACAACATTCTTCTTAAAGCTATGAATTTGTTACTATTCGCCGCTTTTCATTAGAACAGAATTATAAAGGATTGTTTCATTTTAAAATCAAGTATATTAGCTAGTGTTAGGTTTTAGCCACATATAACAGAAAACAAAAGTGTCTTAGATCGGTGATCCCCAATTTTTTTGGCATCAGGGACCAGTTTCGTGGAAGACAGTTTTTCCACAGACTGGGAATGGAGAAGGGAATGTGCAGTCAAACCTCATTGCTAATGTTTAGCTGTATTTGCATCACCGCTGCTCCACCTGAGCTCATTGGGCATGAGATGCCAACTGCGGGGGCAGGGGTGGAGGGGTTGGATTGGCAGTAGTGGGAAACTGCCGGGGGTGGGGGGCATATCTCATCAATAAGGGTATCTGCATAATGAACATTTGTACACCTAACCCCGAATTGTACCCCACAGCTTTAAAATTAAAAAAAAAAATTTTTTTTAAAGCATATAACCTCGATCCCTCACATGCACAGTTCACAATAGGGCTCACACTCCTGTGAGAATCTAATGCTTCCACTGATCTGACAGGAAGTGGAGCTCAGGTGGTAATGCGAGTGATGGGGAGTGGCTGTAAATACAGATGAAGCTTCCCTCACTCTCCCGAGGCTTACCTCCTGCTGTGCGGTCCATGGCCTGGTACCATGGGGGTGGTTACACAAGATAGAGGTTTGTTTCTCTGTCATCTAAAAGAACTCCAGAGGCAGGCAGTCTAGGGCTGGGATGGCGGCTCTGTCGTGTCATCAGAGACCTTTCTGCGTGCCACCTTCTGTGTGGCTGTCACCTCATGTCCAGGATAGCTGCTGGAGCACCCATCATTGCATCCCACAGTCTAGGCAGCAAGTATGAGGAAGATATAAAGAATTCACTTTTCTTTAAGGAGGAGCCTCAGAAGTCTCACACAGAATTTCTGGCTACAACTCCTTGGCCAAGAGTTAGTCACGTCACAGGTCCCACCTTGCTGCAAGGGAGTTTGGTATAAATGTAGTCTTTTAACAGGGTATGTTGTCTACCCAAACAGAACTGGGTGTGATTACTATGGAAAAAGGGCTGAATGGATAATAGACTACCGACAATCTTTGTCATTACAGAATTCCAAAAGACACCAAGGAAAAGATGTACTTATGCAAAAGATGCATTTCTAAGGAATTTCTAAAAGCAAGTTGTTAGTATTTGGTTTATTGAACTGTCATCTGAATGCATGAGTGGTACACCACGAGTATGTCGGGGGATAATTTTCTGCTATGAAAAACAACTCAACCAGGTGCAGTGACTCAAGCCAAAAAAAGTCAAAAAATTAGCCAGGTGTGGTGTACTACTCATGCAAATTAGCCAGGTGTGATGTACCACTCCCAGCACTTTGGGAGACTGAGGTGAGTGAATTGCCTGAGCCCCAGGATTCAAGGCCAGCCTGGGCAACATGGCAAGACCTTGTCTCCATAATAAATCAAAAAAATTAACCAGGTGTGGTGGCGCACACCTGTGGTTCTAGCTACTTGGGAGGCTGAGGCAGAAGGATCACCTGAGCCCAGCAGGTCGAGGCTGTGGTGGCTGTGAGCATGCCACTGCACTCCAGCCTGGGAGATGGAGTGAGACTCCAACTCAAAAAAAAAGAAAAAAAAAGAAAGAAAGAAAGAAAAGAAAACTCATATTTTCAATAATCTATACCTAGTTTGTATATTTTTTCCTTCGATTTTCTTAAAAGCAAGTCTGACCTCTAAATTAGTTTTCTCAAAAATGACAAATAGCAAGGTGGTTTTCTAATTCCTGGTCACTTTAAACCTCTCACTCCACCTCCCCCCCAGCTACCATCATCGTGTATTTTTCTCTCTATCTTTCTTTTGTTTGGGGCAAAATGAGGCTATTTAAAAGATAAATGGTACTTTTATTTATTTTTTTTACTTTTTGGGTTGGGGTCTCACTCTGTCGCCCAGACTGGAGTGCAGTGGCCGCTCCCAGCCACCGCGGCCTCAACCTGCTGGGCTCCGGCGATCCTTCCGCCTCAGCCTTCCAAGTAGCTGGAACTACAGGTGTGCGCTACCACGCCCAGCTGGTTTTTTATTTATTGTAGAGATGAGGTCTCTTCAAGTTGCCCAGGCGAGTCTCAGACCCGCGGGCTCAGGCAATCCACTCACCTCAGCCTCCCAAAGGCGCGGGATTACAGGCATGAGCCACTGTGCCTGGCCACAGCTGGTACTCTTAAATGTGTTTCCATTATAGAAGAGAAGAAACACCAAGGGCAGAGGTGTCTGATGCTTGAGGAAAGTTAGCTGGTTCAGTATAGAAAATGGAACAACTATAGAAAGAAGTCATGAGAATTATTTGAGCAGAGCAGAAAGACAAAATTGTCGAGAGCCAGGGGGAAATTACTGTGCAGAAATACGTGATTCTATTAGTAACAGAAACTACTCTATTGATGAAAGAGAAAGTCCAGGAAGACTGCATTATGAAGAAAGATTGACTTTTTTTCCCCAACTTTATTCCCGCTAGTATCTAAAGTGCTTCAGGGCTTATCGCAACAAGTCAAGGAAACTGATTATGTCAGAAATTGCTTAACATTTGTAATGGGTTCTATTTTATTTATTTTGGCAGAAGGAGGGAGAGGGGAAGCAGAGTAGGAGGGAGAAAAATTCTGAGGAATTTCCCCCAAGTGCTGTGTTTCATGGCACAAAGACTATTTACAAACTATAATATAATATTATTAATATAAAATAGTAATAATAGTAGCAAAACACATCAGAGCATTATTTCTCACTTACCAAGACTTAGCTGATTTTTTAAAAAGGTATTGAGACAGGCTTTAACTATAGGAACATTTCTATTAAGAATACTAACCTACTTCATGACCAGCCTGGGCAACATGGCAAGACCCCATCTCTAATTCTAAAAATTAGCCAGGCATGGTGGATCGTGTGCCTGTAGTCCCAACTACTCAGGAAGCTTGAGATGGGAGGATCACTCAAGTTCGAGATTTTGAGGCTGCGGTGAGCTATGATCACACCATACCTCCTTAAAGCAAAATTTATTTACAACAGTTAACCATAGTTCAAAGATATTGCTCTCTTTCATGTTATTTATCCCACTTATTTTGAAGTGTTCTACTCTACATTCTCATGAGTAGGGAGCAAAAATAAACAATTCATGCCTTCATTCTGTCATTATGAATGTCTGTAATTACCACGTGATGGCTAAAAACTGAGGCCCCAGTGTCAAGGAGATTGCTGGTCGGAGAAAAAAGGCAATTGGGACAGAGACATTTACAATTGTAAAGTGACAAGCATGATGCTGTATTTGAGATGTGCACACAGCCAGGTGGGGTGGCTCACACCTGTAATCACAGCACTTTGGAAGGTTAAGGCGAAAAGATTGCTTAAAGCCAGGAGTTCAAGACCAGCCGAGGCAACATAGCGAGACTGCTTCTCTACAAAAAAAGAACAAAAAAGGACGAGATGTACACACAATACACAGTTGTTTAACAGCAGTTTTTTGTTGTTGCTGTTGTTATGAAACATTCAAGAACTCCTCCCCCAAACCCTGGCTAGGTCATGTTTACTAGGTGTGTCAGACTCTGTTTCTTCAGATTCACTCTCCCTGCTCTGTCCCGTGGGAGACTGTGTATTGTGACGTTGCTCTCTAGGGGGTGACTCATCGGGAAACCCAGCAGAATGTTGGCAGGTGAGGGGAAGTGGGATTGGGGTACTTAGTTCTCCACCTCCATCCCTGGGGTCTCTTCGGTTGGAGTAGCCCCCTTCTGATGGCTGCTGCTCCTGCCAGACAGCTTCTCCTCTAAACAGCTACAGCCACACTCGGGTTCCAGTAACAGCTGTTCCCCTCTCCCCTTCAGGCCTAGAGGTGGTAAGAATCGCCCTTCATCGCCACCCACTGCAGGCTCCAACCTCCCTCCACTGGCTCCCTTTCATCCCGTCCACACCTGCATTAAAGAGTTCAACAGTTCCTTCCTAAAATTTTCCCCAATTACGCCAGAATTGCACCATCTGTTCCTGCTGGACCCCTGCCTGGTATATTAAGTTTACCTGATGTATGTGACGCATACTCAAGTGTCTTGAACTTCAGTTTGATTCTTCATTTGATGAGTTGCGCCTTCTGAGGAAGTGGCCCCACTGGGCTTGGATTCAGCATACGGATTGGAGTGCCGTGGATTATTTTAGGATTTGAAGTATGTTTCATTTCGTGTGAAGTCCTTTTAAGAACTTTATTCCATCGCAAAGTGCATAGGCCACCCCTTATGTTAAACATCAACCTCACTTAACTTTTGGAGTCTCTAACTCTGTAGCATTTAGACCCTGACAAATGATGGAGAAACGCATGGTTGACTATCAGGTGTACCTGCTGACTGGCCACCTTGGGACCATTAAGAGGATTACTGTGGAAGGGGAAATGTGCTATTTAAATAGATTATTTGTGGGCTTGCTTCTCTGGGCGGTGCTGACTGACATCTTATTAATCTATTTAGCAGATTGAAGTTCCAGAACAAGGCAAAACGAAAAAATACCACACTCAACAGAGCCAGGTCTGTGAGTAAAACTATATAATTGATGCATTATCATTTTGGTAAATCTGCCCTTGACTCCCCTTTAAGCTGATTCTACAGGCAAGAATCAGCCAGAATTCTGCTTCTCAGAAACTCCTTTGTAGTTTAGAGGCCATCACAGAAGTATAGTATTTTTATTGTAAGCACTCAGCGGGGATACAGGAATTTTTACATAAAAAATTTCTTCTGAGAGGAACACAAAATTCTTTGGTGATTTTTTTTTATACACCTTGTGCATTTTGGGGGGAAATTATTTCTGGTTTGTATATTTCAGTATAACTAGCATATTTTAGTTTCACAGGTTTTCTGCAGTGTACTTGGTATAAAAAATACTTTTTTAAGCATTTAGGTCCGTTGTGCAGATATTAATGGAAAATTATGATAGATAACATTTTTGGAGCACGCATTAGTGTATCTGAGCAGTCTTCTAAGCATTTGTATGTGAACCAACACATTCCTCCATGACTTTAGAAATAAGTTGAGCCAGGCACGGTGGCTCACGCCTATAATCCCAGCACTTTGGAAGGCCGATGTAACAGCATTGCTTGAGCCCAAGAGTTTGAGACCAGCCTAGGTAACATAGTGAGACCTTGTCTCTACAAAAAAAAATGAGGAAACTAGGGCCCAGCAAGGTTTAGTGACTTGCTCAAGGCTGCCCAGTAATTAACCATGGAAGCAGGCCCAGAACTGTGCCCTGAGCTACCTTGCCAACTCTTCTTTCTATGTCCAAATCCTAGTGTGGGTGAATTAAATCAGGCAACTGTATTTAGCATTTGAGTGGGATCTGTTATGGGTCCAGCGCCTGTCACAGGGTCTGATGCATATGTAAACATCCTCAATATATAACCACAGTACCACAGTAGTTATAAATGTGTAAGAACATAAGGTCCTTTCTTAAATGAGTAAGCTCAGGGTCTAGGAGAAACAGCATAAATGCAAAGCCTTCTCTTTCCTAATGACAGCATTTCTGGCTGGCTAGATCAGACACAGGAGAAAGGAACACTACCCTTTGCTGGCTACATGTGTCTTTAGGCAGATCAAAAACCTAAACATGGCTGGGCATAGTGGCTCACACCTATAATCTCAGCACTTTGGGAGGCCGAGGCAAGAGAGTTACTTGAGCCCAGGAGTTTGAGACCAGCCTGGACAACATAGCAAGACCCCCTCTCTTAAAAAAAAAAATTGTCAAACAATTTTTTTAAAAAACTCAACATGCATTAGGGACTCCTGAAATGCTTCTTAACAGACAGATTCTGGCCCTGACCCCCAAAGATTGCTGAAGTAGTTTCTGGGTGGGGGCTTTGGAAAATCAGCATTTATAACAAGCATCCCCATGAGACACATTGCACCATGCTTCAATTTATTTGTAGAATGTAGGTATTGATCATGTCATCATTTTATTTTATTTGAGTTAGGGTCTCACTCTGTCACCCCAGCTGGAGTACAGTGGCACTATCACAGCTCACCACACCCTGGGCTCAGGTAATCCTTCTGCCTCAGCCTCTTGAGTAGCTGAAACTACAGGCACATGCCACCATGATTGGCTAATTTTTTGTTTTTTTGTAGAGACAGGGTCTTGCTATGTTGCCCAGGCTGGTGGGGAACTCCTGGCCTCAAGCAATCCTCCCGCCTCGGCCTCCCAAAGTACTAGGATTATAGGTGTGCGCCACCAGCTTGGCCCACTTCATCATTTTAATTCATCCGTTTTAGCAGCATACTTACAATGTGAAGCTGTGGCTCTCGACCTTGGTTGCATCTTGGAATCATCAGGGGAGCTCTAAAAACTAAAGATGTCTGGCCCCACCCTCAGAGATTCTGATTTGATGGTTCTGAAGGACCTGGGCATCAGAATTTTTGAAAGCTCTCCAAGTGGCTTTAACATATAACCAGGATTGGAGCCATTGTCTTAGGCCAGTGGTTCTTAATGTGTGGCTTCCTGGGCCATCAGTGTCAGCATCACTTGGGAACTTACTGGAAATTCAAACTCTCAGACCCCAAGCCTACCGAATCAGATGCTCTAGGGGCCCAACTACCTGTGTTTAACAAACCAGATAGAGGAACCTGATGCAATTTCAAGTATGAGAGCATGGTCCTAGAACAACAGACAACTCAACACATGGCACATTTGTGACCAAATCAGTCGTCCTCTCAGATGAATGGTATGAAAGAATAAGCCAACCCATTCTGAGCAGGACCAGCATGTTAGAAGGGGGTTTCATTTTATTTAGCAAACCATCATGTGAGTGAGGACCCCCAAAAATCCTGTAATGATCTTTGGGGGACAGGCCCCTTGTAGGCCAGGCTTAACCCATCGGCATCATCATACCAGCTAGCATTGTTGTAAGAGGCTGCATTTGGTGTCAGTGATTTGATTTTATTTTTATTGGAGACTCGACTCGTTTGCCCATTTTGTGATGGGTGATTTACAAGTGCCCCTACCCATACCACGCTGAGTGTTCAGAGTTTTTGACCAAAAATGGCACGACCCCCGTGCCCCAACCTTCCTCTTCACTCAGTCTCACCCTGAGTGACTTTTTTTTGGCCTCCCTGGATGAAAAAGTCCTCAAAGGGAAGAGTTTTACTGATGTGGAAGAGGTGAAACACAAAACAGCAGAAGCACTAAAAGGCATCAAAATCGACAAGTTCAAAAACCACTTTGAGCAGCGGATAAAGCATCTCAGTGGGTGTATTGCATCAAGCAGAAAGTACTTTGAAGGTCACTGAAGTTTAAACATCTACAAATAAACACATAGCCGGGCCGGTGGCTCAGCCTGTCATCCCGCACCTTTGGGAGGCTGAGGTGAGTGGATTGCTCGAGCCCGCGGGTTCGAGACCCGCCTGGGCAGTGAGACCTCATCTCTACAATAAATCAAAAATCAGCCCGGG